ACATATATTAAAAAGATGACATGTCATCATCTGAGATGCATCCCTAAAAGCTACCAATTACACAAAACACACCCTGAACTGATCCTAGCATATCTGTTGAAAATGTCACTGGAAATGCTGCACAGGAAAGAGACAGTTGTATTTCTAACTGTTTATAGCAGTTCTAGTACAGCATTATTACTTATAAACTTGCACACACACAAAAATAATCCTGAATTATCATTTTGTCTTTATGTTCTGTTTAGAATAAATTATATGTAAAGACAGGCCATTGCATGTTCTAAAAACGTTTCCTCAGAAAAAAATTATAAATCAGGATATTCAGCTGTCACCCCATTCAACTTGGACAAAGATAAAACAAAGAATTTGCCTCCCAGGCATAGCAATTAAGCCTGCTTTGTACTTCTAAATACAATAGAAACCAGAAAAGTGAAAAAGTTGGCCTTTAAGGACAAAGTTTATACAGACTGATTACTTTGAAATTTCTCTGTGATCTGACCAAGCCAATTTCTTGCTAGTACACCAAACGCAACAAGCACAAACCTTTCAAGAAAAGCATGTGTCTCTGAATTTTTTCAATATGGGTTAAGGGAAGGACACAAGAGCACGCACAAGATGACATATCAGAAAAGGCTGATCTGAAGAGATCCCCAGATTGCTCTCTCCCAAAATTATTCCTATTGTATCCAAAAACTATTTATTTTTCAGTTTCATCACATAAAAAAGCAGAGGTGGACTTCTATAACTTGCCAATCCCATCATTCCCAGTCATGCAAGCCAATGGCCAGACAAGCCTTTTTTTTTTTAGCAAGGTACACTTGTTAATACAATTTAATATGCAAAATTACAGTACTCCCATAGAATTAAAAAGAATTAAAAAGCTCATAACTTCTCTAAGCCAAAGGTGGCCTTATATATTTCAATACTGAGTATTATTTTAGAATTTTAACTAACACAAGACACGGGAAAAAAAGAAGGCGAAAGAAAAGAAAAATATGCTTTGTGAACTATAGGAAAGGACAGAACCTTCCCCTAAGTGCTAGAACAAGACCGGAAGAGGTGGAAAAGTAATTACTGGGAAAAGCTCACATAAATGCAATTTTGAAATTCAGAAGTTACTGCTTTTCTTTGCACTTCATAGATGTTTGGACACCAGGATGACACCAGGATCACCTTAAACAAATACAGCCGTGACATACCCTTTTGACCTTCATTGACCACTGCAGCATATGATACAGCTATCATCAAACCTGGTGGACTGGGCTTTTCAGTCAGAGCTGGGTGACTGTCCTCAGATGTACACCCTTCCTACATCACGTGAAAAGGAGTTGAGGGGAAGCAGAGGAAATCACAGGACTTCCCCTGAACAGGAAAACTTATCTCCATGTCCTGGGTCAGAAGTTATCTGGGGCCTCAGCTGCCACCGCAGTCCCACAATATGCAGAAATAGGTCTATCTTTTCCTAAAGCATGTCTTTGCCATCACCCCAGCTCTTTAAGGATGGGTCTCCAGCCCCTCATATAGGCGGTGCCTTTGGCCAGAGAGAGTGCCTTATTGATTGTACACTTAATCTGATCCCTGCTCCAAGTAGTTTATTTATTCTTTGTTATTTCTTTGTGGTTTTTTTAAAAACATATAAACAATTACAAAATAAAATGCAAAACCAACCTGTGGAGCGAGCCAGAACATGAGCCCAGATGTGCCTTTAAAAAGCTCTAACGCATTACATTAGAGCTTTAAACTTGCCTTCCTTTCTCTAGCCTGCTGAGTTTTTAATTTCTTTGCTGCAGAATGACACCAGTTGAGTAAGGAATGGAAATCAATCTAGTTGTATACAAAGCCTGACCACGAAGAGGCAATTACAATGCCCTTTGGACTGGGTTTGGGGCAGAAGTGCCTCATTTTTAAGATCTCACCAAGTCTCAGGCCTCAGGTAAAAAGTATGTGGCTCAGCCCTTGCAGGCTGTGGTGGCTGGTGCGCTTGGAGGAGAGAGGTAACACTGGTAATTTTAACTGCACATAACCACAGTGGCACCCGGGCTGGCAGCCACCCCTGGAGATGGCCCCGGACACTACGTGTCTCAAAGCAGGTCAGCTAGAGCTGCTCCTCCACAGACGAAGACTCTGCAGCCTCCTTGGCAATCAGTTCCACCCGCTCAGTAAAAGTTTTTCTTCTGTTTACGTGGAATTGCCTGCATGTCAATGTGTGGCCACTGCCTCTTGTCCTGTGCCACTGGGCACCATTGAGAATAGCCTGGCTCCATCTTCTTTACTCCCCCACCAGACAAGGACAAGATGCCCCCAAGTAGATAACAATACTGCACTGGTCCCCACCAAGCTGAAATGACTCTACACTCAGTTAAGAGCTCAGACAGACTTTAAGATGACAGACTTTGGAGACAGGCCCATAACTTCAGTGACCATTAGTGTCTCCTGTCCCAGTATTCCCAACTTGCCTCTGAATGAAGAGTAGGATACGCTCCACAAACTTCACAGGTCTACTGGTGTTTGAAATAAAATAGTTTATAGTATTCACACAACACACATTACAAAATTACTTGATACAAGAACAGAAGAGACCCAAGATTTTATTGCCTTGTCAGATGTAAAAATTTATTTATGCTATTTATCAAGTGTTTAGATTTACACAAAAGACAACACTTCAGCTTCAGGTCCAATTGTCCATCGGTAAGCCCTACATCAGAATACCCTTGACACTGCCAAGTACAATTTTTACAAGATGGCTTAGAACAGCAGAATTTCATAAATAATGGCCAACTTCACAAGTCTGAAGGTCACTACCTCATCAATATTTTTCTGCTGAGCATGACCCACAGAACAGCGGAAGTCTTAAAACCATTTTAATCCCCAAACACTATCACTACTGCACTCAGAGCATTTAAATCACATTGCTCTGCATTAGTAACACCAAACATTATAGCTAGTCTTAAAGATTTACGACATCTCCCCCTAACAAAACGCCCCCCCCTTTTTTTTTTTAATATAAGAGAACTGTGCATCAAAACAACTGCAAAATACACAATCATCCATTTGGCTTGGTTTTACAATAAAAATAACATCAGTCATCTATTTGTTAACTTCATCTCTTGTGTTGTGCTCCTTTCCCCTTCCCTCTCACTTAGGAAACTACACTAGACCAGGCAGTTTAATTGTAGCACTGAGGTAGCATATTTTAATTGAACAGAATAATAGGTCTGCTACTGTGCCTCCTCTCCTTTAAAGCACAAAAAAAATCCCCACAGTTTTTCAACTTCTTTGGAGAAGACAGGCATATAGTTCATTTCCAACAACCACTCCATTTTGAATTCAAAGCACAAAGCATCTCTGAATGGTAGATACATTATACCAGCTAGAATGAATGAGAACATATACAAGAAGAAGGAACTATGTCAGTTTTATTAGAACTATTGTTACATTTTAGCTCTATGGCACCTATTGTTCCCTATTATGAAATGCATCTTTACAGTCTCTGAAATTTAATTTCAAAGACTAGGATCCTGGAAAAGGGCTGCTGTGCCTCAATTTTGCTAAATGATTTTCACACTATCTGCAGAAAGGGTCAAATAATTGCAACAAAACCCAAAGAAATCAAACGGACCTAATATAAAAAATCAATAGGAATTAGCAACATGAGTAAATTAAAAGAATTGAAGTTAAGGCAAAAGATATAACATGCCTGAATGAACTGAGAGCACTCCCAGTTAGAGCTGGGATAGCCTTAAAAAAAAAAAAAAAAAAAAAAAAATCACTGCAAGAGTAGAAGCTTAGTTTCATAACAAATTGAGAATAACAATATCTCAGCTTTGCCATTCTGGCTAAAAGCTTGAAAAGAAAAAGCTGAAGTCAAGCTGTACCCAAGACTGCAGCCTTAACACCCAGACTGTTTACTGAAGTAACTCGTACAGACACCTGTGTATTTAGGGGTGAATAGTAAACAGTGACCCCAAAGAACTGTACTCATTTTCTGCTCTGTACACACAGCCTTGTTAAACTCTTTTGCATGGTACACGATCCTCACCCAGATCCCGGCTGGATCTTTGAATCCCCCCGCCTCTCCACCTTTCATATAGCAAAGCAAAAATTTTACTGCAGTTAAAACCCCTTGAGTCAGCTGCATGCGTAAGGGAAATTGGTTTTCAACACCTTGGAAAGCAGATTGAGAATGTAACTGGGCTGACTGCTAAATAAACCCTCATAAAAACACCTAAACAGCTGAGGGAAAATGCGTAAGTTATAATGATCAATTCAAGCTGTTTATGGAGACTTTAATGTTAATCTTTCAAGTAATCCAAGATGCACTCCAACACCTGTTATCAAAAATTTAAGGCTTTTATGAACACCCTCTTACATACAAAAGGAGTATTAAACAGAAGGAACTTGTTTACAGTAAATACAAACATCCGAAAAAATCTCTGAAACCTGTTTATACAAATACTAATAAATTCTTTAATATTTTGTACAACTAGAAGGTGCACAGATTGGCATTCAAGCGGTCAATGCTGGCAAACATCTGTCAGACAATAACATGATTTACTTGGATAACAATATAGTTTAAAATGCCATAAATTAAAAAATAATTTAGTTCACATTTTTTTCCCCAGCTTTTATGTACATCTTAGTCTTTAATGAGATCGTGTAGCCTTCTTCAGAAGCTCGAGGTCTTTCCGTCGGCTTTTGATTACTCTGGCACAGCCATACTCTTCCAGTTGTAAAGGGATATACTTTTCTATCTGAACGAGCCCATGCCCAGCAGGACCAGTAAACAGCTTAATCCAGGATGGCTTAAAGTTTCCTCTGAAGCCCAGGAAGGCCAGGCTTCCTGTGACAAAAACAGCTCAGCGTTACCGAACCAGCCAAGCCCATCCAAGCACCACACAGGACCGGCTGAGAAGGGAAGGGCGCGCTCCTCTGAAATTCTCCCCCCAGATTATCCAGGACGTTAATCCACGCTCAGCTTCACGTGCACCTCGCAAGAGAATACTGACTTGCAATTTCCCTTTTCAGTATTCAGTATTCAACACTCTGAAGCCTTAATTTGAAAACACAGCTATCAGGACAGTTATAAAACCTGCTTTCTCTGGCAGGACTTGTGCCAGGGCCCTGAACGGACGAGAGCTACCCCATGTGGCCTATAAAGTGATCATCCCTCAAAATACCAACAGCTTCTCATATCTACCTTCAAATTTTGTTAGAACAGGAAATGCTAGTCTGGCACGCGAGATTGTTTAAAAATAGATTCGCTGGGCGAGGCACAAGATACAGGCTTTGGGAAAAAAGCCTGGGGCTCTCTTTCTGTAATCCAGAGGCACAAAGGGCTGCTAGTCACTCCCCTGCTTGCAACGAGCTTCACACATCGCCCTTTGGGGCAACAGGAAGGGTCTTCTGCCCCATCTGCCGAAGGGCTGCCCACCCCCCCTCTCAACAAGGGCTGAAACACAGCAGCCCATACCAGTGCAAACTGGCAGCCATCCTCCACCAGCTGCATCCTTTTCACATACCCCGTGAGAAACCCGCCATGCCAACACAAACACACAGACCAAGGCGGTGTCAAAGAAATGTGCAAAATTTCCACCAACCGTTGCTCTGAAGGAAAGGCGGTTTGGCTGTCCCCAGGGACATTAAGGCTTCTGATAAATTATTAGGAATTGCTACATCACCTCTCGTGCTCAGTAGAACGATAGACCTGCAGCAGAAACAGTGCAGAGACAGCAGCTGTTATAAACACAAAGTTTTCTTAATATTCTGCTACGTGCTTTTACAGCTAGCTGGCCTCATAGTCCACTTGCTTAGGAGTACTCATGCTATATTATTTCATGACATGGAAAGAGTCAACCGCCTCTGAAAGCAGTACCTAGAAAAGCACACACCTAGATTTTTTTCTTTTAACTGACTTTTAAATTTAACTTCAAAATCATTGGAAAGTGTTATTTAAATATAGTTTAATATTTTGTATCAAAAAATCAAGTTTAGATATTGATCCAAAATTAGAATATTAGAATGCTGATTTTTCTGACACTAACTTTCTATCCTTCTTTAATGATAAGCCATTTTCTCCCTAGATAGGGAGAGAACAGTATGACATCTTGTCACATAGTTCTTGTCAGTGTTCTTAGGTGACCTTATTAAACAAAAAGTTATTCTTGTTTTAAGCAAAGAAGTGTTATTACATGATGTTTAGTTAAAAAAAAAAATCTTTTTGAGGTTAAAGACAGGCAACACTGGAAAATTTTAAGTGTTCAAAATTTGAGTTGCTTTGTTTTCTCAAATAAGGCTAAATTGTTAAAATGCTCCTATGTTTCTCCCTTCCCCTCAACTTAGATACACGATTTGCTCACTTTCAGTGCTCCTGTACAGACATCATTATTTAAATCCGCGTTAGAGAGCAGAGATACAGCTTACAGGACATACTGGAAATAACTGGTCATTACACGTACCTTTGTGGAATTCCAGATTTTAAATATCCACCTACACGCTTAATGTCTACTTCTGAAAACAATTTGTTTCCGGACACTGTGCCAATGCAGGCATCAACTACAACAATAAGTATACCATTATCCTTGAAGGAAAACATAGTGTCATTGACCTGAATGGGAGGAGAAGCAGAGAAAACCACCTTTGCTTTCTTTCTTAAGTTAGCACAAATTCAACAGCAATTCTAGTGCACCCAGTATTATCCACCTAGTTTAGACATAGTGGTGTACTAATTTCCTTACAAATACTTCCTTCTCCCTAGCATCTCTTCATATTCCCCCTTGAGGGGGGACTTTCAGTGGGACTTCTGAAACTGCATGGGAGCCTTCAGTCCCTGGCTTCTACATGGAGATGATACATTTCAGGTGACTTACTACCTGCCTCGGTCATCGCTCCTGCTTCGGGAAGCTAAAATTCAGATAGGGAACCACCCAGACTTCTTGGCAATATACAGTTAATCTGTCTCTGCAGCAGCCCAGTTCCAGCCCAGTTTCTTCCCTCTGAGTGCTCTTACTGCTTTGGATACAGCACACACATTCCCGTAGAAGTTTGCAGCTGCTAAGGTTATGCCACCCACGTGCCATTTGTCTGTCTAAGCAACTCAAGAGTTTTACTATTTCAACCAAGCTAACACACTGACATTGCAGAATGTAAGCCACATGCAGACTTCAGGCTTTGTGGTGCGAGGATGTCTGCAAACACTACTTCAGCATCACGTGCAAGTGTCCTTCAGCATCCGAATAGAAAAGTTGAAGTAAACTATTTTTTATACATTCACTAGGCTTATCAGGACCACATCAGAACAAATGCAGAAACCTCTTACGGATTCTGTAGTAACTGCCATTTTGAAGGAGTTTAGCAAAGCTTAATGGCTTGAATGACTCATCCCATTAACTCAATCTGTTAGCACAAAAACAATTTCAACAACATGGATTTAACTAACAAGTTTTCTGGTTTGGGGATTTTTTTCCCCACCAATAAATACATATCCATCCAGATTTCAACATGAATCTGAAGATTTTAAACTCTCCCTTACTGGTACAATTTTCTTTCCAGCAGGAAAGCATTCAAATACAAACTGGAGTTTTGGAGCCTCATTTTCTGAGGTTAAAACATCAACTTTTTGACTGCTTGTTTTTAAACTACGAACCAACACTTTTCATTCAAGTGAAGAAAAGTGAGGTTGGCATTATATAGAGCTGTGCAACTGTTGTAATACAAAACGCTAAAAAGAAAGATAGTTAGAAGAAAACCATAAAGAATACTTACAGAAATAAATGCTTGCTGACCTCTGCTTAACTCTTTTTTACCAGATGAATTAATCTGCACAAGGAGGTAGTTTTTGTGAGGATCGCTGGTGAATACCATCTGGATATCAGACGAAACACGTTAAGTATACATATCCATGTGTCTTCAACACTTCATCGTGCCAGACAATTTACCACAGACCGCCCATGCTCCAAAGCAAATGCATCCATTTGTCAGTGGCATTGCTTGTGGTACCAGCAATGCCAATAAATATCATGATGTATAGTGTAACCCATTTTATTCCTTACTTTCAGTATTTTTCTCAGCTTGTATAGCTAAAATGGATAATGCAATTTCAAGTTCATTCTAATAAGCATAGGTCCAAAAAAGAAGAGAGAAGGTTGGCCAATAGCATATACATCTCTGCAGCAAAGCTATTCTACATGGAGTACAGACAATACTGTAGTACAAGATCAGATCTACCTACGTCCCTTCTCCATAGCACTCAGAGTGAGAGGTGAAGAAGTATTTTTCGAAGAACGAAAACTGAAACCTTTGTGCTACAAGGGACTCCCTGCCTTCTGGCGTACAGGAGATTAACAACGTGACCATCGCAAACTGGTAGGTGCAGTATTCTGTGCTGAAAGACTGAAATTCTGCCTTGAAGTGAGTAGGCAGCAACACCAACTATACAGTTAATGAAAGTTTTTGCTTATTTTATTTTACCTGAGTTGTGCCGCATTTTGTACATGGTACAGTAGTTTTTACTGGCATCCGCTTTATGACGGTTGGCCCTTGGTAATACTTTGGGTAAGCTTTTGCCATGCAGTTACTGATCCCTTTTGCTGAATCTTTGGTCACAATCTTGATCCTTTCACATCCCTGAGATGAGCAATAACTGTGACCGTCCCTATTATATTTGGCTTGAAGAAATAAAAACAGTAATCTACACAAAAGGGGGAAAAAGAATCTAGATCAATTGCTGGAAAGATAGATGTTTATGTTAAACCTTAACAGCTATATTTCATGATTTTCAGAAGCAGAGAAACTACAGTATTCACTTCTGCACCATTGTTCAAACTTTTTCAAAATATTTACAGTTTACTAGAGTTAGGAAGTCTCTACTGACATATCTGAAATTCCCAACAATTAAAGGGGACATCATTATGAATGCATATGCTTTGAAAAGAACAGCCACTCCTCAAATCAGTGGCTTGCAGGAAACAAACCAAACTGCAGAGCATAGATGTTTTCTTTGATCACCGATCTTTGCAAATACCCAGCAGTAACTGTTTGGATATTCAGCTTTACCCGCCAGCACTGGACAATGTAATTGTACTGTTGCAAATGCCTGGAAATGCAATTTAGGGGGTAGTGGTCATTAATGTTCACAGTACACAGAGACTGGTAATTCTTCTATTATATATTTGACTGTTATCACTGTAGCTCTTAGACAAAAGAAACGTAAATGTCTTTTCAAAAGCTACATTTATCTGCATATTTACTACAGACAAAGTAGCAGATAAGGGAACAAAATAAATAAGAGAACAAATTACAAATTAAAGATCAACATTTGCAAAACACACGTGATGTATGTAAGACTTATTTTACTCAAAGCTGACCATATTTTAAACCTCTCAGAAGGATCTCAGTGGCTTCTGCCAGAAGTACTTTTGAAAGAGAGACTAAGACTTTTAAGTCTTTTAAGACTTCGAGAAGGCTGAAAACGGATTAGGATTTTCAGAAATACATTCTTAAAATGTTCTTGGAACAGAAAACTTCTTGGAAATTTCTAGAATTTTCAGTTTAACAAGAAGGCACAAATTTTCTTTGAAGACTGAGAAGTTACTTCCCAAAAGACACTGCTCTGCAGCATGCCAGATACCACATTTTCCCCAGGCATGGGGTAGGAAATATCTGTGGCAACTGTGGTGCTCTTGGAAAAGTATTTCAATGACAATCACTGTCTTTTGGAGATTCAAAGTCACATAAAGTATTGTTTCAAATAGGCTTTGGGCTCCTTCGCAACAGCTTTCCTCTTATGCAGGTGTCTCAATCAGTTGCTTTTAACACTATCAACTGGACATCTTAAGGTTAAACAACATCTTCCAATAGGGTCAAGTTACAAGGAGTTACCCAGTACTGTTGTCAAAGTAATACTTCTTGTCTGATCGATTCTTTTCGAGCTCCGTCATTGAAGATACAGGCATGTAGCGCTCTACCTTGCTTGACAGAGCGGGCGACCGCCTTTGAAAGGTCTCCAATACTATAACAAAATCTGTATTTGGTTGATAACAAAGACCAACACGAATCCAGTCATTCCTGAAAACAAAATAAAATGTATGATTCAGCGTAGAAACAGTTTAGATGACAATATGCAGCAAACATATCACTCAAAAAACAAGTAACAGGAACACAAAAAGCTCCCAAACCCTCAACCAGAAGATCTTTCTTCCCCTCTCTACACAAAGTGTTTCACTAAGTGTTACAGTAACTTTGACACTCTCAGGATATATATGATTTTATACTTTAGACATCTAATAAGTTTATCTGACAACAAAACCAAGTATGCTAAACTATTCAACTCCAGTTTTCTGCTCAACTTCACTATTTGCACATTTTCTTCTCCAAAGGATTTTCCTTAAAGACACAGTACTGGACAAAAGCTTAACTTTAGGTGCAGGTCTGCTGCTTAATCTCTTGCTTTTCATACTTTAGTATTTGTAATTATGAAAAAAACCCAAACAATCCAAGATCCAGCCTTACTAATGGTTGCACTCTCATGCATGCTAATTCTGAAGGACGTTACTTCAGTATTCCCTTATCGATCAATGTCATGAAAGAAAGTAAACATACTTGTTGAAGTTAATGAGATAAAGATAGGTGACGTTTGGAGCTTTCCCATTCCAATGGATTGTGTAGCCCTTTTGGAGCATCACTACTGGCTGGTATTGTTGAAAGACAGCTCTCTGATTAATACCTCGAAGAACCATGGGATTGGCTGGGTACTCATCTCGTACTATAGTCATGGAAAGATTCTGTCCATTCCAGGTTTGTACATAAACCTGTATGATATTAAGGAGGATGAAAAGAGAGAGGAAAGATTTGGACACTGTGCAAAAGGAAATGAAATAGTAAAGAATAATCAGTACGTTATTAGCCAAAATGCTACAATTTGATGTTCTGAGTTATGTAATATACAAACATCTCCTGAAGAAGAGCACTATTTGAAAAACTATTGTAGATTTTGCCCATTTTACAGACAAAAAAAAGGGAAGGAGGGGAAAAAAAAATATATAGGATCAGCTATGGTACTTGGTCAAACTCATATAGAACAGGAACCAGAATGGGAATCAAACCTACGTGAAATTTGTATTCAGAAGGTGGTATTTAACATCTTCATTAAAAAAAAAAAAAAAAAAGGAAAAAAAAAAGAGAGAGAGAGAAATAAAAAGCCCTTTAAAACCCACTGTGTGAAAAAAAGACAGACAGAACTCCAGTGGAAGAAAACACCTCCAGTACAAAAATGTTTTAGCAGATAGGGCTGCAACATAGAACTCCTGGCATGCATACACATTTGGTTTTACCTTGCAGCATCTAATACTGTACTCCCAGTTTGTGTGCTGAAGGGAACATGGTATACACAATTGGTTGAAAAGTGTAATATGCATAAAAGTATTTTTAAAACGTCAAAGAATTTTGATATCCAAAGATAGGTGATTTTGTAGTTCTTATACTCCCACTGCCCCCACAAGTTGTTCATATTGTAGATTTGCCCCAAACAGAAAGCTACAAGGGTACTAGCCTGTGCATAGGTCCCACTGCAAACCACTCCACTCCATTCTGTAATATTGATGCATTTGGGATGTTGAATCAAGTAGTTATCCATTCTGCCCACATAGGCATCCTTGTAGTCAGTCACTGAACCATCTAGATCATGGAATATTGAGTTCTTGTCACCATCCAGATCACCTTCTTCAAACCAGGGACCAGGTTTTCCAAAGAAGGCTTTCAAAGAAACCTGGCAACAACAATTAAAATATTTATTTTTTTCCCCAGGCGAAGCACAGACTAAAACTTACACACCTGCAGAAACACAGGAATTTGACAAAGTTGATTAAAGACTTTATTGCAAGAACAGTGGAATCTTGCAAAACAGACATTTTGATTTTTAGTAATAGGCTCAGGCCACTCTTGCTTCTGAACAGTGTTAATATTTGCAACTGAAAATTCATTACTATACCAAACCTTACAAAAAAATCTCCTTTCAGCTTTACCATTAGCCATGAAAGACATCATTATTGCAACATATCCTACATCTCTTGGTATTATTTTTTGCTCGGGAGACAAAGGATACACCTTGGGTGACTTCCAACCAAGACAGAAATGGAGTATGGAAAAGATGACTTAGAGCCCTTGAATGTTTAGTTTAAATACAGCAAGAAGAAAAGAAAGCCATTTGCAAGAATAAAATAAAACTTGTAAGAAACTTACATTCGGACCAAACTTCACAAGAGAAATATTGTTTTTTGGTGTCATCTGCCATGGATTTTTCATCAAGAATCCAACCGCGCTGGTAAATCTGTCTGGAGTTGGCACAAAGTTTTTGAATGTGCACTTGGTAAGGTGAATGGGTCCATCATAAATTTGAAAGCCTCTGATTGGAAACGTCCTGTTAATGCAAGCAAATATTTAGAGAATCCTAGAACAAAACCCATGATAAGCCTGAATCTGTGTCATAAATACACTTCCTCTCAGAGGAATCAAGAAAGCAACATTAAGAGAATGACTTGCAAGTTAGATCTTAGTAAAGGAAATCTTGTTTCTGCACTTACCTAATGAGTCAAAAAATTCCCCACTCTTTTGAATTTTCCTGTTAGAAGAGCTATCACTGTCCATTCACAAATGTGCCCTTTTCCCAATATGGGAAATACAGCAGGAGAATAATACCACCTGCTCTTTGATTGATCATGGCAACTGGGAGAGGTACCCGTAGACTGGAGGAAAGCAAATGTAACTTCTAACTTCAAGAAGGAACACCGAAGTCTTAAAGGCACAGGAGCAGGCTGT